ATCTTTCAAACTTCTTTCTTGAGAGCAAGCAATTCAAAATTGGATTACCTTTCCACATTTTCATACAAAGTGGATTAATGTGCCTCTGTCGTTATTACATTTTCCACCCTTGTCATTTGTGATTAAGCCAACACTATGAAGATGTATTACAGATCAGTATAAATGGGAACATTAGAACACTGGCTATGTGTCAGAGAAGCTCAAGGCAAGTTGATTTGTGCTTCTCACACCCACTGTGCAATACATCAGAAATATTTTGCATCTCTTTGGACAGGACAATCTTTCTATGATACCCCAAAGTAACCAGAGATTAGGAAAAAAAAAATCTCACTGAGAGAACAAATAAGGAAATGTGCTAAATTTTGTTTGGGGAAATGGAGGAGGCTATCCTCCCTGCAAAAATTTCTAGACAAAATTTCTCATACATGCAGCTCTCAAACCATAACCATCACCTAGGTCACAAAAGCAGGGAACAGTTGGATCACAACATAAATTCCTGGTTCACATGAGTAAGGGTGTTAAAAGCAGGCTTCTACTTTATTGTCCTGAGCACATTTGACTACAGTCCCATCCCAGGAACAAGCTGCTCCAACTAAAGCCATGTGGTCTCCCATACTGGCTGGCTGGCTGGCTTTCTTTCTTTCTTATTTATTTATTTGATAGAGTTAGCCAATGAGAGAGAGACAGTGAAAAAGGTCTTCCTTCCATTGGTTCACCCTCCAAATGGCTGCTACGGCCAGAGCTATACCTATCGGAAGCCAGGAGCCAGGTGCTTCCTCCTGGTCTCCTGTGCAAGTGCGGAATCCAAGTACTTGGGCCATCCTCCACTGACTTCCTGGGCCACAGCAGAGAGCTGGACTGGAAGAGGAGCAACCAGGACTAGAACCCAGCATCCATATGGGATGCCGGCACCACAGGTAGAGGATTAACCAACTGAGCCAAGGCGCTGGCCCCCTGGCTGTTTTTCATTCCACTCTTCTGCCTTCCTGGGGCCTTGAAGGGAAGAATATGTGAATAGATCACATCAAGTTTCCCTCTTATTATCACTTGACTCACACTAGGGACACAGTGCCATCAATGTATCTTAGTATGGGCCTATTGTCTGTGCAGGATGGTGTGAATGCATGAGAAAAGGACTTGACTTTGGTGACTACTGTACAACTAGAGCAAAGTCAGAACAAGGAGAGTTTAAGCAGCTCTGAGTAAGCCAGTCTTTGTGGATGATGATGAGATGGTTCTACAAATGATAAGGGATCCCATAAGTTATGTTACTTAAGAAGAATAAAACAGCAAGTGTGTTGTAATGGGCTGAAGAGGCTGGTTTATCAAAATTGGAGAAATGGCTTTTGATGTGAGTCCAGAATAACCGGAGCCTGACTGGATCCCAAATGGACTGGGGGGGATGTGGGTGGTACTGGGGAGATGTGGGCAATAACCAAGGGGAGCCAGCATCCCAGGAGAGAGGCATCCTTAGACATATGCTAATGTGGGTGCAACGGCGGAACCTTATTTGTAGTGTATGCTGGGAACTGCAATTGTGCATCACCAGATGCCACTTCAGTAGAGCATAACAGAATTAGCTGAAAGCCCACTTGAAATGTGGGATTGGATTAGGAGTTGTGTACTTCAACCTGCTTTTCAAATGTAGATCTGAGAAGAGGACTCGGAGATTCAGTTATTAATTCCACACATGTTGATCAAAACAGACACAGATACCATGTCATGAAGTTTTTAGTTAGATGAAAGCAAATGATCTAGAAACAGTGACAGAAGTACAGTTGTATATTATGATCTATAAAGGCAAATGAGAATCTAGTTTAGGAGTGGATAAAGAAGGGCACTAATTATTATCTGAAATCTCAGGGAAGTCTTCCCCAAGTGATATCATTTTAGTGGATGGACCGAATTTTGTGTATTGACGAACTGTTTAGTGTGGAGTGGGAGTAGAGAGCCTCCTTGGCATGAGAAACAGCAAATACAGAGTCTGTGGCAGAAGGAACCAGGTTATATATGAGCATCAGAAAGAAGAGCTCAGACAGGGTCCTGGAGGAATCTGGTGAACTGAACAAGTATCAGGTATGCAGAATCTTGTAGGTGACAGAAGTTATTAAATTTTTAATTTTAGGAGCAATGCAAGACTTGGAAGAATTTTCACCTCGGGAGATATTAGTTTATTTGTATTTTTGAATGGTCATTTTGGGCAATAAATGAGTAGGTATAGGAAAACCAGTTAGGAAAATATCTGAGAGGTCCAAACCAGACATCATGGTGCCTTGGACTAAGGATGTGGCAGCACAGAAGTGAATCTATTAATGATATGTTTGACAGGTTACATCTACAGGACTTGATAAGTCACCTTATATATGTGTTTGGACTTGTTTTTATATAGCTGCAAGGATAGTGGTTTTTTCCTCTTAATACAGAATAGATAAGATTAAACTTCAATGAAAGGAGATATATAACAACTGGGAATTAATCTTAATTAAGAGGAGAAATTGTGGAATATGTGAACAAATCTTCAAATGACCAATGAAGAAACAATTTCAGACTATAAGGAGACTAGAGTATGATTTCTGAAAATATTGTACTCTTTTTTTAGGGTTTTTTAGCTTATTGATTTGGAAGAGTTCCATAGGGACAGAGAAATACAAGAGAGAGAGATGGAGAGGGAGAGAGGGAGAGAAGGAGGGAGGGAGGGAGGGAGAGTGAGGGAGGGAAAGAGGGAGAAGGAGAGGGAAAGAAGGAGGGAGAAAGAGGGATAAAAGGAGAATGAATGAATCTTCCATCTACCAGTTCACTCCTGCAGATGGTTACATCAGCAAGGCTGGACCTGTCCGAAGTCAGGAGCCAGGAGATTCATCTGTTGCTCCCACATGGGTGGCAGGGACTTAAGCAGTTGGACCATATTCTGCTGCTTTTTCTCAGGCCATTACAGGGAGCTGGATCAGAAGTAGAGCAGCTGGGACTTGAATCAATGCCCATGTAAGATGCTGGCATCACATGCAGTGGCTTTATGTGCTGTGCTATAATGCCAGCCCTTGAAAATATTATATTTTTATGTTCCTGGAGAAAATCTTATGGCATTGTTTGGTATTCTCCTTAGAGTGAGACATTATGCATTATAAAACAAAAATAAAAAATGACAAGGACAGAAGGAACAATGTGATGTATTGAAGAAGTAATGAGGCAGAAAAACAGAGAGTTGAGGGAAAACAACAAGAGTTCTAAGAAGACAATACAGTGAAGAGGCAAGATGTACGATGATGTCATAAATTTACAATTTTTATTTTTTAGTTTAAGAGGCAGAGAAACAAATGGAGAAAGATGAAGAAAGATAGAAAAAAGGAGATCAAGAATAAGTGAGAGACAGAGAGCGAGTGTGCACGAGCTCCTTAGTGAGAGAAATCTTCTATTCACTGACTCAGTTCCCATGTACCTACAACTGGGCTGGACAGGAGCCAGTGCAATCCAGGCTTGCCACAGCAAGCCACCTCTACTGTTTTCTAGGGTCTGCAATGACAGGAAATGACAGGAGCCAGGACAGGAAATCAAAGGCAGGCACTCCCATGTTGTGTTTGTGTTTAACCTCTAACTAAACAACCCCTCTAATGATGTAATAATTTAATTTGTGCCTTGGAGAACAAATTTAAGAAAGTGTCTTGAAATTCACAGCTTAGGATAAAGAAGTAATTATCAAAATAAAAAACATGCTAAAGATGGTGGACAGATTCTACACAGGACAGGATAGCAGTCATCAGATATATGTCTGGGGAAGGAATCAGACAAACATGCTTTTCTCATCTGAATAATGACCTACACCTGGACTGGAGCATCTCACAGCACGGCTTACATGATCAGCGGAAGAAAATACCTAGTTGCTGCATAATAAAAACTTGAATGATAGTAAATGTAATTTTTGTATCCCATAAGTTTTTAGTAGGGAAAAAAGAACTCTAAAAATGTGGTATCTTAAAGTGAAACAAGCTAGCCTCTGTTTTCTGCTCTGTAACATCAAAAACTGTCAGAAAGGTAATGGATGAAAACTACAACATTTTGAAGGAAATGACGTGATTTGAGATGATTTTACTCTCAGCTTCCTTGTTTGTTTTTTTTTTTTTTTTAATCTGGAAAGGTAATAGGAGAACATTTTCAGATCTCCAAAGGCTCAGATCTTCAGCCAGCTGTGCACCCTCAGCTGACATCTGCAAGTATCCATACGTACACATGTGCACTCTGACGATATCATCTTCTGATGGGCAGAAAAGGAAGAAGGAATTAAAAGAAGCAAAAACTCAAGAATACAGATAATACACAAAGAGGTGAAAGAGTTCATTCAAAATAAAATACATTACTAACTCCAGTTGTAAAGCTGAATATAATTTTTAAATGTCAAATTATTTATTAAGAATAAAGTGTTTATGGATTCCCAGATCATACTGACACAGAGAGATAGGGACATAAGTGAGAAGAACACAGTATGATGCAAAAGGATGGGGGGATTAAAACATTCCATTTCCTCTTTTTACACTTCTCCCTTTATTTATTTATTTTATTATTTATTTATTTATTTATTTTTGACAGGCAGAGTGGACAGTGAGAGAGAGAGAGAGAGAGAGAAAGGTCTTCCTTTGCCGTTGGTTCACCCTCCAATGGCCGCCACGCTGTGGCCGGTGCACCGCGCTGATCCTTAGCCAGGAGCCAGGTGCTTCTCCTGGTCTCCCATGGGGTGCAGGGCCCAAGCACTTGGGCCATCCTCCACTGCATTCCCGGGCCACAGCAGAGAGCTGGACTGGAAGAGGGGCAACTGGGACAGAATCTGGACCAGGACTAGAACCCGGGGTGCTGGTGCCGCAGGTGGAGGATTAGCCTAGTGAGCTGTGGCGCCAGCCTATTTTATAATTTATTTAAATAAAGTGGAAAAAAAATCCTGCATTTCATATTACAGTTTTAGGAGCATAGTGATACTTCCCACCTCACCTTCCCTTCTGCCCAAACTCCCACCTTCCCGCCTTCTTCCTTTCTCATTCTTTCTTTTAATTTTTACAATGACATGCTTTCACTTTATTTTATAATCATAAGCTTAACCCTCCACTAAGTAAAAAATTCAACAAATAGGAAGAAGAAGCAGAAGAAGAAGGAGAAGAAGAAGAAAACATTGTTCCTTGACAGTAGAGACAAGGAATATAAACAGTAATTAAATCTCAAAATGTCAATTTCTCTCATATACATTACATTTTTTTATACTTTATTAGTTACCATAGGTCAAGGATGGAGGAGATGCTGCAATGCTTGAGAGCATTTCGGGACCCAACTGCCTGGGTTCAAATCCCACCTCTGCTACCCACCAGCTATGTGCTGCATTTCCTCCTAACTCTCACATTGAAATCATGGTTGAAATAATAGGGCTTGGTTTTCTTTTCTCCCCATCCACTTTTAGGGCCTGAATAACACTGCCCTTCTTTTCAATTACTGTCTCCCATTTTCATCCTAACTTCAGTGTATTGAGCTGGACTCATCAAAGGTGGAGGGGAAAAGTTAGGGGAATACAATTTGTGCATCTTGAAGACCAATAATACCAGTAAGACTTTCATGTTATTAATTAAAAAGGTATTTTCACATAAGTTGCTGTGAAATCCCACTACCCTCTATACTTGCTCTGATGTTGTTTTGCACCTAAAATATAAAAATTTGCATTTTTGCTATTTTAATTTATTCTCGTTAGTTTCAGCCCAGCATTTCCCCTTCCATCAAGGCTCTCTCGTCAGACATTGGCTCCATCCTTCTTAGCTTTATACCATCTGGAGATCTGGCCAACAGCCATTTACGTCTTCATATAAACTCTCATTTTTGCAAACTTTATTCATTCGTGGGCCAAAGTCATAATTTTGACACAACTTTTGACATTTTCATATGCATGATATACATTTAATATGTTTCTGTAAATCAATTCATTTTTACTCATATACATTTATTTTTTATTTTTTAAAGAAGTATTTATTTGGAAGTCAGAGTTACAGAGGGAGAGAGAGAGGGAGAAAGAGAGAGAGAGAGAGATCTTCCATCCACTGGTTCACTTCCCAAATGGCTGCAGTGGTCAGGGCTGGGCCAGCCCCAAGTCAGGAGCCTGATTTATTCCGGGTCTCCCACGTGGATGGAGGGTTCCAAATACTTGAACAATCTTCTGCCGATTTCTCTGGCTCAGTATCAGGGAGTTGGATCAGAAATGGAGCAACCAGGTCTCAAACTGGTGCCCATAGGGGGTGCCAGCATCACAGGCATTGGCTTTACCCGCTGTGCCACAACACCGGCCCCTACATTTATTTTTAAAATGAATTTTATAGTATGAATTTGAAGTACCAGATATCTACAAGTAAACCAACATTGATCTGTGTGTCAATAAAACTATCACTGAGCCACCCACCAGTAGTAGAATACCAGCCATCAGAAACACAGTCACTCCTGCCATTGAAACATGGTGGGTGAGACCATGACCAAATATTGCCTTCTCTAAGGCATCACTTCTGTGCTAGAACCTAGGACTAGGGCCTTGCCTGATGTATGAAACCATAATTTGTATATATTTGTTGATACAGCCAAGGTTGTTTGCAGTTTCTTTAGCAAAGAGATATTTTACAGTCCTGACATATTTGCATTGACTTTAAAAAAAGTTCATATAATTTAAGATAGCTATTGGTTCTTTGGCTGATATCTGATGCTAAAATTATCTGAATGCAACTCATATAAAACTCTACATTTCATGGTATTTGCAGAGCCTAGACATTTTCTGATTTAGGTGCAAATGTGTTTGGAGAACACCATGAGAATCTGAATGTTCAGCTAAAAATCCTAGATTCAATAATTTGTCAGATTCACTAGTGGTTTTGACCAATATGTGTATCACTCTCTGCAATTAGACAGAGTTTTCGTCTTTCATACCTGCAGGGGCACAGAAAGAAAAGGATTTTTTGGGGGGTGAGGGGTAGGGAGGAATGTGGGGCTTTAAATTTGGCCTCTTTTACCCCAAACTATCCCATCTACATCCAGCTACAAGTTCATATTGAGGCAATTTCTTTAAAATGGATTTAACTCTGAGAAAGATAGCAATGGTAATTTCTAATGCAAAGATCAAAATGACAAGAGTTATTCATCTTCATTCTCTGAGGTACCATTTGATCACCAGCTTGGGTCAGGAAGAAAATTTTCAGGCCAAGAAAAAGTGTTGTTTAATTCACTCCAATTGGTGCTTAATGCAAACACTTCCATCTCTCCGACAAGCAGATGTGGACTACCCTTGATGATGCATCATACAGTTTTCCTACAGCAATTTTTCTCCATTACATTTTTGCTCCTTTTTCCATCTATTCCCTATCTCAATATCTCATTTTTTCATAGCTTTTATTTCTCATGTCATACCCTTCTACTCCCCCCACCTCACCCCACCCCCTTCCCTAATGAACTGTATATGTATCTGGGCTCTGCAGCTCTTGGAAACTATGCCTGTTCTTTCACTCGTCTAGGTATGTTGGACTCCCGTGCCATCTTCCATCATTTCTTCTGTCCAGCTATTAATTAGAACATTCATAACATTGTGTGAATTGTAGAATCAGTTGCTTTTTTGACAATGCTGAAAAGAGGGTGTGATATGGAGAACAGGAAGTTCCATGCTCCCTGATAGGAGGTGTTAACTTAAACAGAATCTTCAGAGTCTTGAATTTAGAGGACTATATCAGCAAAAATATTTTCTTACAGAAATTTATACTCATGAACCATAAAAATATCCAGTGTTCTGTATACATGCCTCAGAAATATAAATCATATGTAAGATAGACTGTCTTGTGTTTTATCACATGTGTTACATATTACTTAAGGATTTGGAATGTTATTAATTTTTAAAAATATATTTAATTTATTTGAGAGGGGGTTGGAGAGAGTGGGGAAGGAAGAGAGTGAGAGAGATCTTGCATCTGCTGATTCACTACCCAAATGCCCACAGCAGCAGGGACTGGGCCAGGCTGATGTCAGGTCCTGGGAACTCAATAGTATCCAGGGGTTCTCACCAAGTAGATGACAGGGACTCAACTACTTGATCCATCACCTGCTTCTTGCCAGGGTGTACATTAGTAGGAAAATAAATCTGGGCCGGCGCCGCGGCTCACTGGGCGAATCCTCCACCTTGCGGCGCCGGCACACGGGGTTCTAGTCCCAGTCGGGGCGCCGGATTCTGTCCCAGTTGCCCCTCTTCCAGGCCAGCTCTCTGCTGTGGCCAGGGAGTGCAGTGGAGGATGGCCCAAGTGCTTGGGCCCTGCACCCCATGGGAGACCAGGAGAAGCACCTGGCTCCCGGTTCCTGCCATCGGATCGGCGCGGTGCGCCGGCCGCAGCGCACCGGCCGCAGCGGCCATTGGAGGGTGAACCAGCGGCAAAGGAAGACCTTTCTCTCTCTGTCTCTCTCTCTCTCACTGTCCACTCCGCCTGTCAAAAAAAAAAAAAAAAAAAAAAAAAAGAAAGAAAAGAAATCTGGAGTGGACTGAGACTTGAACCCAGACCCTATGATACAGCGTGTGAGCATGCCAGGCAGCATCCTAAACTCTATGCCAAATGCCCAACCTGAATTTGGAATGTTATGGTTCATAGATTCCATTTCAAATGTCACTGATGGAGAGTAACGCCTAGGGTAGAATTGTATAAGTAGTAGCAATATTAATAAGAGTATAACAGAAATGTAGTTATTTTACATAGTTTCTTCAACTTTCAAGATGCCCTATTTAGTTCCAACAGTGAACATGTATTACACTGTGGTGGGTGAACCCTCTGACACTGCCCATTCTAAGTGTCAAAGGGGTTGAGTACCAGGCATTTCATGTGATTCAACAATTCCTCATTTCATTGTCACAATAATGTCGTGAGATCAATATCATTTCCAATCTATTTGGGAAGAAACTGAGGTTCAGAGAGACTTCAATGTGTGTCAGAGCCAGAGCTGCAGAAACAAAAGGAGTGCATTTTTGCAACTGCTACGTGAAGTCCTCTACAACTTCACTTTGCTCTTCACATGTTTGAATCTGGTAAACTGGAAGTTCCAGAAGAGAATCCAGAATCCTCAATCGGCTGCTGAGGCAGCAGCCTTCAAATTGGAAACATGAGTTCGTTTTTGGTTTCCAGACATAATTTTTTCCCCCAATTCCCTTGAAAACATGAGTTCTAAGAATGCAGGTTCAAACAGGGACATAGAGTAAGAGCGCTGTTCCTCTTTCCTTAGGTGCTCGTAAGAGCTAGTGGAACTATTATGAGAACAAGGCTACTCAGGCTCCTTACACCGAACATGCTACAGGCTTGCTTGCACCACCTTTGATGATGTGGCCCAGAACAAGGGAGAAGCCTCCAGCAGAGAGGACCTTTCATCAGGAGATGAAGGCAGTCCCTGGTCAGGATGCTTTCAGGACTGACAGAGCTGTGTGTTCAGCCCTGTTGCCTCCCTGGGAGCAAGTTGAGTGTTCTCTGGTTAGTCAAATTCGTTGGACTCACAAATCACCAGCACAGGAAGAGTTAGAAATTCATGACTAAAGTTCTTGCATACTACTGAAGCTCAGATATGCACAGATTGAACCCAGACTTGAACGTGTCAGTGCCCAGAAGTCATGCTGGTGGGATTAGAAGTTTTAAAGTGCAGAAAAAAAAAAAACACCCCCATTTGTAGTTATTCACCTTCTAAAGGATGAACTGTCATTAAATGCTTCTGTATTGGGACAAGTGTTTAGTATAGCAGTTAAAATCCCATATTCCATATCAGAGTACCTGTGTTCCGTTATCAGCTCTGGCTTCTAACTGTAGCTTCCAATCAAGGCAGACTCTGGGAGGCAATGGTGTTGACTTAAGTACTTGGGTTCCTGATACCCACACGGGAAATAATGGACTGAGTTCCTACCTCTGTGTTTCAGCATTGGCCCAACCCCAACCATTACAGAAATTTTAGGAGGGAACCAGTTGACAAGGGCTCTTTTCTCTTTGCTTCTCAAATAAATACAATTTTGAAAAGTTTCCTATATTATTTAACACAGTGCCCTAGGTCACATAACAGCTGTTTTCCACTCTGCCACCGTTCTTATTCCTGGGCAAATTAGGAGCTCTAAGTTTGCCGTCATCTCTGTCCATGACTGTCTCCTTCATTGCAGCGGAACACTTAGAACCATTTGTGATTTTTGTAGCATACTCAGTTTTCCAAATGAATAATAAATATAATTCTGTCAAGTATTTCTGGAACCCATGTATTATATTTATTCTTTTTTCCAGGAAAATAAGAAATCTATTTGCTTTTGCACAGTGTATGGCAGTCAGAAGTACCTCATTCATTCACTTTTTATTCATTTGATGCATGAAAAAAAGGCATTAAATGTATTTCAGCATGTCACCTCAAATTCTGTGCAGCCAGCAGTGATGAATATGCTTGATTCCTCAGCTGGGGTACTGTTTCATATTTTCGTGACAATATCATTTGACAAGGCGATTCTGCATTGGCAATATTGTATCATATTTTTGTCTGCATGTAAATTATGTTGACAGTCTCATAAACATAAATTGGCAGGCATACTATCCCAAAGCAATGTTTGTTAAAATACACTAATGGAATAGAATAAATAAATTTTTCCAAAGCATTAATAATGCAGTGGTCTGTCGCTATATTGTGCAAGCAGGTCTGTGGAATATGTTACTGTCTATGCTAAATTAATATAGTGTATATTTCTTAATATATATTTCACAAAATCCCATGCTTACATTTATCGATTAGTCATTCCATTTCACAGAGCTTTATATACAAGCAGTCACACATTTGTGATAACTTCTGAGAGGCTGGCATTGTCTGCAACAGACACTTACAATGGAACACCTGTAAGGTGCAACCCTAGTCCAATCATTGTTTTGTTTTAGAATGGGCTCCCCCTTCCTCATCTGCCAACCTAAGGAGAAGGTAGCTTACCTGGCTTGTGGCCCTGTAGACCAAGCAGATCCTGGAGTAGGCAGAAGTAAAGTGGGCTTGTAGAACAACAGGAAGCCTGAACATAGGCTTTACTGATTTATCTTTGGATCCCAAAGATGAGAAACTTTCCTTTTAGGTATCTTTGGACAAACTCTAAGGAACATTGGAAAAATATAGAGTACATAGCTTTAGATTTTTCATTTACTAGAAATGTGGCATTTGACAAGAAATAAAATCCGAGTCTCAATTACTGTACAATAGGGATAAGATTTGTGTTTTTTTTTTCTTTTGTATGATCTGCAGTTTCACATGGCTTGGAATTATGCATTTAATGGCAAGAGCTGTGTCTGCCTACCTCTCCCTGTTTGTCACTGATGTCCAAGCATGTGGTTTTCCAGATTAGCGGATTACAATGTGCTTCATGTGAGTCTCAGGAAAAAATCTGAGAGAGACTAGGTGAGGCTGCTGCCAACCGACAGAAGAGGCAACATCCGTACAAGTATTCTGGCCTATGTCTGGTCAGGAAGTACAGCCAGCTAAACCTGAGAGATTTTAACAAGGAGGTAAAATGCTTATAAAATTTAAGCAACAGTTCAGGCAACAAATTACAAATGCTACAGTAAGTTGACAGCTATAAATGAGAAGGTAAATGCAAGTGCTTTGTAAAATTGAGAGGGAGGTCATTGTAAAATGAGACAGCTGGGCACCTGCTACTCATGAAGTAAGGCCAGAGCTGTGAGTACACGGAATTTTCACACACTCTCTCTGATCCACAGGGCTTTATAATCCGGTTGGAGATAGGAAGCTTGTGCACTCTTGACAGGAATGCCAGTTCTGCAACACAAAGTAGTGTGTGTGATGCAGTGGATGTCCTGGTTTGACATCACAGGCTACGCCTGCTAAGAGCCTAGGTGCTGCTTATTTAAGTAGCCCTTGGCCTAAGGCAGTTGCCTTACCAAGGTGAATCTCTCTTCCCAGGGCAGCACACATGAAATGCGAGGTTCATCAGGAGGGGCAAAGTCCTGGCCTCCTTCCTGTAATTGCGTGTCCCCAAATGTCCAATATAGTTGCAGAGCTCCCATGGTCTGGCTAGGTCCTCTGCTACATTGCATCGCCAGTCGATATCTTCCTGCTCCAAATGGTACTTTTCCAATTTGGTTACATTAGTTGTTCCTGACAGCACTCTTCAATAAGTCAGTTGCACAGAAACCCCTATCTTGGAGTCTGTTTCCTGGGAAACCTAATCTCCCTACCACAGCTTGTGTGTTTTAAGGTTCAAAGAGTGGTATACATAACCAAATGTTACGGGAATATTGAAGAAGGGGGAATCTCTACATGTTGTGTAATTGAGTATCTCTTTATTACCCAACGCTTGCCAAGTGCTTGTTGCATGGTCAGCCCAATAGATTTTTGCAGGATGAATGGCTTGTGTGCTCAGGAAAACAACTGGATATTGACAGGCAGAAAGGAAAATAACTGTACAGTGATCGACTTGGGTAGTAGAAATAATATTGTGTCATTGCTAAAAATAAAGATTGAATCAGGGTGTTTTATGGACTGAATATATGGAACTGAATTAAGTATATGTTTAGGGCTCACTGCACCTGTGTGATGCCTGTTTCTTAGTCTGAAGAATTGTGGAAAAAGTCACTTACGGGTCTCAGCACTTAGATTCTGCGGCGCTGTAAATCCTTCTCTCCCAGAAAGACTAGGGAGTAAGTTTCACAGATGGCACTCACATGAGGGTAATTCAAAACATTCATGGAAAATGGAATTTAAAAAATGTGTATTTCATTGCAGAAAAATGGAAATCCTTACATAGTTTTTGAATAATATGCACTTTCTATGAACTTTTTGAAAACCCATGATATGCATGGATTTCATTTTTTGCACCAAAATAAACTTATTTTAATTCTACTTCTTTGAGAACTTTTTTGATATATCCTCATACACACACACACACACACACACACACAAAATTTCCCAGAGTAAAATTTGTAGATAAAATGTACTAACTCTTTGGTACAATTCTATATCCAGGAGTTTGTTTGAAAAAAGTAATTAGTGGGGCTGCTGTTGTGGCATAGTGTGTAATGCTGCAATGCTGGCTTCCCATATGGGCACCCATCTGTGTCCCGGCTACTCTACTTCTGACCCAACTCCCCGACATTGACCTGGGAAAGGCATCAGCAGATGTTCTAAGTTCTTGGGCCATTGCTACCCATGTAGGAGAGCTGGATGAAACTCCTGGCTCCTAGCCTCGGCCTGGGTCATCCCTGACCATTGCAACTACTTGGGAGTGAACTGCCTCTCTCTCTGTAACTCTGTCAAATAAATAAATAAATCTTTTTAAAAAAAGTAATTTGTATATATATATAATGTATACATATATAAAAAACTGAACCTCAAATTAAATATTAAAATAGTATATAAGGATAGCAAATATTTGCTAACAATATCAGTGCCACTTGATAAAGAATAAAAGAAATATATTGCCAATATGTCACTTCCCAAAAATATATTACGTATTCATTGATCAATTATTAGATGGATATTTATTGACTTGTAAAACAATCATATACAATTTTAACAGACACAAACTGTTAACCATATAGTAATATTATTTTGCTTATAAAATGAACATACTTATGATGTGTCTGCATATATATGCATTTGTATATATGTTTATATAATTTTTAAATATTATTTTTATTAGGGAGAGCTGCAATGAGAGATGGGGGTGGAGAGAGAGGCAGACTGTCTACCAGTTCATTATCTCAAAACCTACAACAGCTGGGGCTGGGTCAGGCTGAAGCCAGGAGCGAGGAGCACTCACATAGGTGGCAGGGAACCAAGTAGCCATCACCATCACCTCCCAGGGCGTGCATTAGTCGGAAGTAGGAACAGGACTTGATCCCAGTACTCCAGTAGGGGACGTAAGCATCCCAAGCAGTGGCTTGGTCCGCGGTACTGCAGTGCCCACCCCATCTCTCTAATGTCTAGAGGCAATAAACCAAAGTGTAATCACAGCATTGTTGGGTAGAAGGCTTGCGAGAACACTGTTTGTATTAACATTTTCTGGCTTTCCTCTTGTCTCCCTGTCTCCTCCTCGTCTCCTTAGTGTCCTCTCTCTCAGGATTACAGTCCCTTTTCTCTTAGCCACTTTCTTGTCAGCTTCTTAAACTAACTTATGGTTGTCATATATTCTTGACAAAATCTAAACTGGAGTTGGAGCTAATTAATTATAGAACTGCATGAAACCACGGCTGCCCTTGGGTGGCTGATAAGAACGCAAGGTAGTTTACGGTCAGTCAGTCGGCAGCACAATGAGCAGCGGAGGGTCCTTGTTGTAAGCACCGCCCAGCCCGCTCGCTGTTTACCCATTCAGCTCCGCTCCCATTTCCCACGCTGCCCGCGTCTTCACCTTGCTAACCCCCTAGACCTCCGCATTCTGTGACCCTTACCAATCTCGGTAGTCAACTTGTGCTCGGATTTACAGAACAAATAGAAAGCACCGGGTGGGAAACCTCTTATTCTAAATGAGCCTGGTCTCTATGCCTGCCTCTCATCCCCATTTCACTTCAGTTCCGCTCACGGTAATGAAGGTCCACTTCTCCTGATTCCTGGGCTCCATCCCTTCACATCTGATGAAGGAAGCTGCCTAACATGCCGAGCCTCTGCCTGCGTTTGCTGGAGACCCTTCCCCAGTGGGTCTTTGCCATCCCCGTTCATCTTGTGCACATTCTATAAAGAGGTGTTTGTGCTACAGGAAATGTCTTAGATTTATACAAGGTCAAGAGCGCACTGGTTTCTGTGACTAAAAAAGAATCATATCCATGTGAAAATTATTTTAACATGTTGTCAGATTTGTTTCAGATTACTAAGTGTGAAAACAAAATATTGGGAAACCAGTTAAATAGGTTTTTTCCTAACCGCTTTATTTTCTCTCTGCCTCCTCAGGATGCAACTATTTTCCTGAAGTGTATTATTTTTTATTACATTTTTATACTTCTAGGACACATTAAAATTAAATATAAATATAAATATAAAAGTATATACAGTGTTTTATGGTTTTAAACTTAACAATTAAAATTAAGGGTGGTTCTGTGTGCATGATTCTGGCAGATGTTTATTTATTTGAGAGGGAGAGGGAATGGAAGAGGCAGAGGGATGGGGTAGGTAGAAAGAGAGAGAGCACTTCTACGTACTGGTTCATGCCCTAGGTGGGTCAACAGTGGTCTTGGAGCAGGCCAGAGACCAAAGCCTGGAGCTGGAAACTCAATGCAGGTCTCTCACATGCGTGGCAGGAATTCCATCACTTGAGCTAGCATGGCTGCTGTCAGGATCTGAGATGGGAGGGAAGGGAGGTCAGGAGGTGGGGCCAGGACTGGACCCCGGACACTCTGATGTGGACGCAGGCATCCCAAGCACTAGGCCAAACACCCACACTGGGGGTGCAGTTTTTACCCAGGATTTTGGGGGATGATATAATTTACGTGTGTGGTTCTTGTTTATGAATCTTAATTGTTGCACAGTGTATTAGCCACTTTTTTGATATACTTTTTTGTTTGTTTCTGCAAACAGAGTACCTAATGCTGGGTACTTCATGAGAGAGAGGGAAAGGGAGAGGTTTATTTGGCTCACAGTTTGGAGAATGGAAGCCCAAGATCAGGTGGCCTCATTGGCTTGGCATCTGGTGAGGATGCCACTGGCTGCACCACTACATGGAGAGAACCAGGAAGGGAAATGGCCACACGCAGAAGGGGCCGAGGCCCAAGGTGACTGCTTCATGGCAACTGGTACTCCTGAGAACTAACTCACCCCGGGAGACCAGCATTAATCCTCTCTGAAGGCAATGCTCTCTTGACCTGATCACCTCTTCCTGGGCCCACTTTTTAAAGCTTCCACCACCTCAACACCACCAGCACTGTGGTACCAAGCTTCTGCCACATGAAACCATAGAGGACAGACTTGAATCATACCCAAGCCATAGCACACAGTGTCCCATGGTATGCATGGACTCAACTTACTCATCCATTTCCATACGTGGTCATTTAAGTTTGTCCTAATGTTTACAAATTACAAGCCGCGGTACAGTCCGGACATGTCTCATTGTTGGCAGGAGCACGGATTTCTCCCTTAAGGATTGCATTCTGTTTATTTACACGTATTAGGGATTTTTTTTTACATGCATCTGGCATTTTTCTACTAATTTTTTTTCTCTTCCTTTATTTCCATTTGTCTGGATAGACTTTCTTCCTTTTCCTTCTCTGGGCAGATTCAAGTTATGCATGCTATTTCTGTTCTTTAATGACTACCCTTGCATTTTAACAAACTCATTTAATTTGTGTCTTATCTAAAAATGAGTTCGTGATTATTCAAAATCATTCCCCCTCCAAATAAGGAAAAAATACCTAAGCATATTTCAACTTTGGTCCAAAAATTCCATCTTACCCATTCCGTTTTTTCTACCCTTGTTTCATTGATTACCGCTTTTGAATTTCATCAATATAACCTTGTATGAATTACACTTAAGTAAAGCAGTAGAACTGCTTCGCAGTAGTCGAGACGGACATTTCTTCCTCATAATGTAAAAGTTAGAAAATGGAAACAGTGGACAATCCCATTTGGAACAGAAGTCTGACTGCATTATTATTATTATTTAGAAGTTTGCTGAAAGCTTCTAAGTGTTCCCCTTTCCACCCCCCTTCTGCCCTGCAACTGAGAAAGAGTTTTTTAAAAGCCTGCTGCTCCCTCTGACTTCTGCAGGGGGATGAAACCGGGTGAACCCTTTCCTTCGTGTAGAAACCTTCCCCTCACCCTGCCTTACACCACAATTAAAACACACATCAAAAAAACGAGACTAGTGTAGGGAGTGTTTTTGGCTCTCAGGTAATTTTTAGATTTTCTTGGGAGCCGTCTGCTTTCTCTAAAAGTCTCACGTGATTAATACACAGCTCCATGCCTGCTTGTTGCTTTTCTAGCACTATGAACCTGGACTTGGACAGTCCATCCACTTCTTTTTTTTGAGTGGGTACAGCACCATGCAGGTCCAATGGAACCACCTTAAATTTTGCTCTCCAATACTTCTCTAGAAATTACACTAGAACTCTTCATGCAACTTCATCATTCACCTTTAGGTTAGAGCTACTTTCAGTGTGCATATCCTGAGGGCAAATGCTTGTGATGAATGAACTTCCTGCTTTTCAAAGATCAGCAAGAAAGACAAGGTCCAGGCTGTGTAAAAGTGTAAAGTATAATGGAAAACATTAACATTTGGAAGTAAAAGGATATCTTTGGTACAAATTATTGTAAAATAAATATAAGAACGTTTCATAAGCCAATATTCTTGAAGCTGATTATGTGGGAATATGTGAGAAATTTGAGGTGGCTTCAAACATTTTCTGGAAATTTGGGCTTTTAATTCTGTTTTCCTCTAAACTGTTGGAAATCTCCCATAAAGGAGAACCTTCTGAAACCAAAGCTTGGGTTTGTAATGATGAAATAGGCTGAAGTAAAAATGAACATATTGAGGTTAAAGGCTCTTATTGAAATGATGGTAATTATATAATTATGACAATAATAGTTATAGAAAAAGTAATATTGCCATGGACTGAATATTTGTTTTTTAGGTTGAAACTAATGGTCACTGTGATGGTATTAGGATATAGGGCAGTTTGGAGTCATTAAATCTGAAGGCTAAGCCCTCTTTAATGGGGTTAGTGCCCTCCTAAAAATGACCACACTGAGCTTTCTAGCCCTTTACATCATGTCGTGATGTAACAAGGCATGGCAGTCTGAAACCTGGAATAGGACCCTCACCAAAAACTGGTCATGCTGGAACCTGTAGCTTGACCTTCTAGCCTGTAAATCTGTGATAGATTTCTGTTGTCTATAAACCATCCAGTCTTTGCTATTTTGTTTTAGCAGTTTCAACTGACTAAGCCAGAGACTAAGAACAATGCTCACTACTTAGATTGTTTATGACTTCAGGAAGATCCAATAAAAATGTAAATATGAGCAGTCTTCAAAATGTGTGGAAAATATGTATTATACAAAACTGTAAAGGTGGGCATGGTGTCCCAGCAGGTTAAGCCACCACGTGGGACACCAGCATCCCGTATCAGAGTGCCTGCAATTGAATCCATCCCCACTTCAACCTAGCTTCCTGATGCGCCTGTGAGAGATAGCAATGGATTCCTGCTGCCAATGTGGGATTCCCAAATGGAAATCCCTGGCTGCAGATTTTGGCCTAGCCCAGTCCTGGCTATTGTGGACATTTGGGTAGTGAAATGTCTCTCTCCCCGATACCCCATCATTCTATCTTTCAAATAATAAATAAACAAAAGTATGCATAGATTTCAATTTTCATACCAAAATAAACTTATGTTTTAATTCAATTTATCCAAAAATTTTGAATACTGCCATATGTATAAATATGGATAGGAAACTCAAATATCACCATTCTTTTTTTTTTTAGTTAATTCTTTTTTTTTTAACTTTTATTTAATGAATATAAATTTCAAAAGTACGATTTATGGATTACAATGGCTTCCCCCGCATACCGTCCCTCCCACCCACAACCCTCCCCTTTCCCACTCCCTCTCCCCTTCCATTCACATCAAGATTCATTTTCGATTATCTTAATATACAGAAGATCAGCTTAGTATACATTAAGTAAGGATTTCAACAGTTTGCTCCCACACAGAAACATAAAGTGAAAAATAATAGATGATTTTTTTAAATGATGATGAAATCAGAGCAGACCTATTGTCATGTTTAATCCCAGTGAGAGTCAAGTTGGGAGTTGATAATTTCTTTTTTTTTTTTTTTTTTACAGAGGATCAGTTTAGTATACATTAAGTAAAGATTTCAACAGTTTGCACCCCCATAGAAACACAAAGTGAAATATATTGTTTGAGTACTCGTTATAGCATTAAAATCTCAATACACAGCACATTAAGGACAGAGATCCTACATGAGGAGTAAGTGCACAGTGACTCCTGTTGTTGACTTTACCAATTGACACTCCTGTCTATGGCATCAGTAGTCTCCCTATGCTCCAGTCATGAGTTTCCAAGGCTATGGAAGCCCTCTGAGTTCTCCGATTCTTATCTTGTTTAGACAAGGTCATAGTCAAAGTGGAGGTTCTCTCCTCCCTTCAGAGAAAGGTACCTCCTTCTTTGAAGACCTGTTCTTTCCACTGGGATCTCACTCGCAGAGATCTTTTGCCAGAGTGTCTTGGCTTTCCATGCCTGAAATACTCTCATGGGCTTTTCAGCCAGCTCCGAATGCCTTTAGGGCTGATTCTGAGGCCAGAGTGCTATTTAGGACATCTGTCATTCTATGAGTCTGCTGAGTATCTCACTTCCCATGTTGGATCACTCTCCCCTTTATTTATTCCATCGGTTAGTGTTAGCAGGTACTAGACTTGTTTATGTGCTCCCTTTGACTCTTAGTCCTTTCATTATGATCAATTGTGAACTGAAATTGATCACTTGGAATAGTGAGATGGTATTGGTACATGCCACCCTGATGGGATTGAATTGGAATCCCCTGGTATGTTTTTAACTCTACCATTTGGGGCAAGTCAGCTTGAGCATGTCCCAAATTATAAATAAAACGGGAATGCGAGTATGGCATGCATTTACAGGAAAGAATATAGAAATGTTCTTACTGAATCCCAGAATCATGCACACTTCTCCTGGCAATAATTCAGAGCCCAGGCCTACCTGTAAACACTGACAAGATTTTATGACAGAGAACTATTGGGAAAATTCTCATTATAGCCAGGCGGCTTCCAAAACGAAGGAAGTAGGACAGCCAATCCAAAATTTCTTCCTACCTTTTAAGTAAGGTAAATTATTCTCTTCTCCACAAGACAGCAATGAGTGACGGACTGGAAAGAAACCGGCAGTGGTAGAACCATTGGTAGAACTCCACCTGGAAGACAATGTCCCTTAGAACATGTGACACGCATTTTCCTATTAACCTCATAATGCCCATAGCTAATGAGAGATGTAATCATCTCTTTTTTAGGAGGTCCACAGCTAAGAAAGTCATACACATACTTCCATGAGGCCACTCATCTGATAACAAACACTTTTCTGTGTATATCTTCTATGTTTACTACTGGAAAATATAAAATATGCCCCAATAAGTCACTTAGATACATCACAAAAATAGACTAATTAACTATGTCCACCCTATCCAGCAGAGAAAGTTGGTAGTTTATCTGTTCAAATTAGACATAACTAGTTTGTTCAAGGTAGCCTATTTATTAGGACTGACTGCTTAGAGATATTTAAACTTCATTTTTTTTCAATATCAAATTCTGAGCAAAAGTTAAATGTCAGATATTAATCCCCACACATTTTAATGTTAATAGTAATTAAATAGTACAATTGCATTTTTGTTTTCCTATTGAGAAAATGAAATCCAAAAATTGCAAGTCTCAGACTGCCGGTATTTAAGTCAACACTTGGAACACCTACATAGGATGTTTTGGTTTGAACCCTGGCTACTACACTTTCCATCTAGCTTCCTGATAACGTGCACCCTGGGGGGCAGCAAATGATGGCTAAAATACTTTGGTCACTGCCTCCCACAAGGGAGATCCACATGAAGTTCTATGTTCCTGGTTTTGGCTTGGTCCAGCCCTTGCTTTTTCAGGCATGTGGGGATTGAACCACTGAATGGAAGATCATTCTTTGTCCCTCAGCCAGTCATAAAATGAAAATAAGTAAATAAATATTAAAAAATTAAAACTAACATACATCCTTGAGAAAGCGTATAGTAGAGAGAAAAACAGCAATGGCTATTGAGTCAGGATATGTGGGTTTTAATGCCCATCCTGTCACTTAATAAATGTGAAATACGGGCAAGTTCACAGAAGATCTCTGTGCTCACTTCCTTCATAAATAACACGAGGATAATTTTACTGTTGATATTAGTTTGAGGGTTAAATTAGCTAATATAAGTCAAATTATAAGTACATTTTGCAAAATTGATACTATATGTTAATGGTAAGTATTATACTATTCTCCTAAATTTCTTACACTGCTAAATTTAAGTAAACCAATTATTGAGCACTAGAAAAAGTCTGAATTCAGGTTTTTATTAGTTTAGTTTCAATCTTGTGGTTCTATAATTTTTTTAATTGTGGGAGACATAATTATCACAATATTGATCCCAAACAACAGAATTATACAAACAAGGTAGTTCCTTCCTTCTGGAGCAATGATCTCATTTTAATCAAATATATACTGCTTCCATCCCACTGTCCTCTACCATTCAGCATGTCAAGTGGTTGATCCCATTTGTCTATAGTTCATAAACAAAAAGAATGGGAATTGTGACCTTTGCAATAAGTTGGGAGAAATTTCCTGGCAAGAGGTTAGTTGTGGACAACCAATGATGACCACCTCTTCCCAATCGCTGTACCAGTGTTTGCAAAGGTAACTAAATCTGCCACCTGAGAGACTTCTGGGGAACATAACTATTGCCAGATGTTCACTATTACTTTCTCATACAGTTGAAATTCCCCAATTCCTGAGATCCTTATATGTTGATCAAATCATAACTCATCTATGTTCTGTAATAAACTCAACTTGGAATAATATCCCAGTAGAAATGGATTTCGGTATTATGTGTTTACCATAATCTCATAACATCTCCTTTTTCTGAAGTAGCTTTTGCAATATTGCTGCCTGCATCGTAAAATGAGAAATTTGCAAATAATAACATTCCCTGCCACCAGGAATTACCTGACGTACATTTGTTTCCAAGTTAGTACGTTCAAAACTTCTTAGGTCGGTTTCCCCTTTGGATCTCAGGTTTCCATTGTAGGCTGGTGCTGAATTGAAGGTGCCACATGCTCCTTTGATTAGTGAGTTTTAGCATCAATCTTATACTAATCTCTTTCCATTGCCTTTTGGCATAACTCTTCTTGGTCTGAGGAAATTTCGTTATCTACTTGGGAAACTCACTCACATATATTAAACCAGACCAAAGATCATTTGATACACACTATTGGAATTGGCTTTTCAGTTTCTGCAAAAGTTATAAACTGTTTCCTTAAGGATCTTTCCTTGGTCCTGGGTACAGAATAGAACTTGGCATTGGGCCTGGCATTATTAATCCAGCCCTTTTCCTACCAATACACAGCTAGAACCTCACTGTTGTCCAAAGAGCTTTTGAAAAACTTTTTTTTGCTTTGTTGTTTAAAAGCAGCACGTTTGTGATTTCCATTGATTCAAGGAAATATGTTCCAATTAACCCGGAGCATCTGACCCATGGCGAACTTCACAAGGGCCCTGCAGCTGCGTGAGATGGTCTGCAGCTGTTGAAGCTGGAAATTGGCTTGTAACATCTTTCAGGCCAACAGCCTTGATAACACTTGACTGGTCCCTGTTTTCTACCTAAGCTTTGTGTCTTTATGTGCCTATGAACCTCCTTCAAGTTTGCTGAGAGATGTATTACCTTATTTAGAGCCTGGTGCTTACAGTTTAATTTCTGTAGAAACAACGATTTATTCTTTTTTTTAAAAATATTTTATTTATTTATTTGAGAGGTAGAGTTACAGACAGTGAGAGGGAGAAACAGAGAGAAAGGTCTTCCATCCGCTGGTTTACTCCCCAAATGGCTGCAATGGCCAGAGCTGCACTGATCTGAAGCCAGGAGACAGGAGCTTCTTCTGAGTCTCCCATGCAGGTGCAGGGGCCCAAGAACTTGGGACATCTTCTACTGCTTTGCCAGGCCATAGCAGAGAGCTGGATTGGAGATGGAGCAGTCAGGACCAGGACCCGCACTCATATGGGATGCCGGTGCCACAGGCAGAGCATTAACCTACTCTGCCACAACACAGGCCCTAACAATTTGTTCTTAACTAAAAAATTTGCTGTGGCCAAAGTTAAAGATCTCCTTGAACACACATCCACTATGAACGGATATACAAGTGCTGTGTACTTACACACTTGAATACTATTCAGCCATAGAAAGAAGAAAGTACATGCCACAACACAGTGAATGTTAAGAATAGTATGCTAAGTGAAAGAAGGCCACATACTGTATGATTCCATTTGTATCAAATGTCCAAAGTAGACAACTTTCTAGGAATAGAATTACATTAGTGATTGGTGCCATTGGAGCTAGAAGGGAATAGGATGTGGCTGCTAATGGGTACAGGTGTTTTTGTGTGCTGTGATGGAAATGTTTGGAATTAGCTAGTGTGACAGTTGCACAAGTTCTTGAAGACAAAAATCACTGGATTGTACATTCTGAAAAGATGAATTTTATGGAATGTGAGTTACATCAATGAAATGATGTAATGAATCAATGAAAGAAAAAAAAGGCTTAAAACCACATCATACTGCTAAAAAACCTTTGGAATTGATGAGCCACATGAAAACCAAGTTTATAGAGGCTATTCTGTCAAACAGCCAGCATTCTCCATGGGTTAAGCCATTTCCCTGCAAGTTAGCAAGGCGTAAAGCATCTGTGATTAGCTTAGGCTCAGAGAAATTCTCTTTACTGTTAGTGAGGTTGATCTGAGGAACAACATAACATTTATGCTATGGGAGATATCATTCTTATTGTTATTCAAATGTCAGCAAGAAGTGTAAACAACACCATAAAGTCAACAAATATTTGACAATGGGATAGACAGGAAGGTTGTGTTCACATGAAACAATAGTTTCTTCCCATCATGAAACTCTCAGTGTATTCTGCGAAACGTTAAGGTTTTATAGAGTTAGCAGCATTCAAAGAGTCTACTCTTAAAAGCATTGAGTATAATAGCTATCATAAAGAACAAACAACAAACCCCATGTTCCCTTTGCCTAGTACAGCAACTCCCTGGCTGAGTGCCATGCCACAAGTCTCAAACACTGTTATTTTAATCTCTCAGAATGCATCTCAAGTCTGTTCCCTCACGTTTTCCAGTCTAATGAACTGGATACTGGGGATTTCATGTATCCCAATGAATAATATCCCTCTCTTCCATGTAAGTTTGAACCAGTTTTTTTAGTAAGGGAAAAAAGCAGTGAAACAAAGCAGCCAAACTAACATCTATATTAAAAACTAAAGTTTTGGCCGGCGCTGCGGCTCAATAGGCTAATTCTCCACCTAGAGGTGCCGGCACACCAGGTTCTAGTCCCGGTCAGGGCGCCAGATTCTGTCCCGGTTGCCCCTCTTCCAGGCCAGCTCTCTGCTGTGGCCCGGGAGTGCAGTGGAGGATGGCCCAAGTGCTTGGGCCCTGCACCCCATGGGAGACCAGGAGAAGCACCTGGCTCCTGCCTTCGGATCAGCGCAGTGCGCCGGCCACAGCACGCCAGCCATGGCAGCCATTGGAGGGTGAACCAACAGCAAAAGGAAGACCTTTCTCTCTGTCTCTCTCTCTCACTATCTACTCTGCCTGTCAAAACAAAACAAAACAAACAAACAAACAAAAACACCACACACACCAAAGTTTTGCCAATAGTAATTAAGACCGCGATGTCAGCAGTGTGGTATAGTGGGCTAAGCCGCCACCTGCAGTGCTGGATTCCGTTTCAGATGCTGGTTCAGGCTGAGGCCTGGCTGCCACACCTCTGATCTGGGGAAACCACAGAGGATGCCCAAGTACTGGGAT